ACTAGTAACTAATACTACTATAGGTCTACTACGGCTTAAAATATTAGGCGATCTTTTCCGTACGCTTTAAACGTATAATCCTAATCTCGAATTTTCTTACGAGATTACTCGACCGATAAGATTAATGAGGGGACTTTTTAGGGAGAATATACAGCGAGGTGTAGAGAAGGTCGGCCTAAGGTATAGGTTAACATCTAGTTAGCTATTATAGTTATTATCTACATTCGGAGGCTAAAAAATGAACTTAATAGATATCGATTAAGCGATAAAAGAAGCTATCGAAAAAGTTAAGGCGAGAGAAGGTAAGGAGTATAAGATTAAGTTAAAATGTACTATAATTAAGGGATAAGAATATCTACGAAAGATTAAAGAAGAAAATAATATAAAACGCCTAAAATAGTAGGTAGACGTAGAGTAATCGCGAAATGAAGAAGAAGAGAAAGTTAAGGAGGGTATAAAGGTAATACTAGACGGGTTAAAAAAAAAGGCGAACGAAGATAAAGGAAAGTCGAAGGTAGAGGATCCTAAAGGTAAGTCACTAAAGTAATGATTTTATAGATCTAAGAATAATGGATCTATAAAATATATACGTTAAGCTCCGTAGGGCGTTTAAGCTAGTATAAGACTCTTTAGTCCGAGAGTATTAACACTAGTTTTATAACTAAATAGGCTACTTCGTAGCACCTAAAAAAACCGTATGAAGTTACTAACTCTTCCATAAATAACTCTTCTATATAGCCTAGGTTAATCAGCCTAACCTAAAAGCTAAAGGTACTTATAAGAAAAGATCGTTATATATCTCCCGCGCACTAGAAGAGTCGTACGTATATAGAAGTCGCTCTATCGGTATATTAGTTAGAGTCTACGGTAGGAATCGATTATAGAGTCTAGTAGGAGAGGTTAAAAGTAGTAGGATCTCTTTCATAAAGAGATGTAGTCGACATAATAATTTATAGAAGTAGGCGTAGGCGTATCACGTACTAATAGTACGTAATAAGCCTACTAGTACGCGGTAAGCCTACGCCCACTTCTCGAGTTATTATCCCCTTAATATTCCCGTCCTCTTTACCTCGTCTACTATAGTAGGGAGTTAAATACGTCGAAAAAGTACTTTAAACTATATAGATACGAATTACTATAACTACCTTTACGAGACGCTACGCGCCTAAAAGCTAGGTAGAAATCGCTATAAGCTAAAAACGTATATACCGCTATCCCCCTCGCGATACATTACCCGACTAATAAGACGATGCTACCCCTTCTAGAGGATCTAATATTAGAAACCGAGAACCCTTAACGAATATAAGGTCGTTAGAGGATGATATAGATAGTAATAATGGTCTAGATAAATAGTAAGGTCTTACTTCAGACGAAGGTATTTTAAATACTAAAAGTATAGCGCGTAAAAGGAGGAAAGGTCGTATAACTGACGAGAAGTGTACGGATATTCTTTACCGAATGGCATATATCGATCGGATTACCCTATCGACACTACTATAGTATATTTAAGAGAAGTAAAGCGACCCTACCGTTAATCCAGCTTCGAGACAGCTTAAAAGCTTTATCATAGACGTCGTATACCGAACTGGAAACTAGAATTAAAACTAAGTATTAGATTAGATTATAATAAAAGAGTGGCAGCGTACGTTTAATTAGGGACTATAGTATATCGCGTAAAAGATTTTACGCTAGGAATTATTAGAGGTAGGGAAGCTTAAGGAAATGTTAGGTGGAATCGACGACGATAGCGAGAGAGAATAGTAACCGACTGACCCTATTATTCCCGAGGAGAATATTCGAATAGTAGCGCCGTACATAGTGAATCTCCTTTATAAAGTCTATTAACCTAAAGAACGAATGTAATAAAGAACTAAGGTTCTAAGTACGAGAATTTCCTACATTATTACGAATCTTTATTAACTTTAATAACTACGAAAGTGCGAATCTTTCTACGTAAGCCTCGGCTATTTCCTCCGAGCGTATAGGTTATTACGTAAGGGAATTAAGGTCTTAAATAGATATAGTGTCGTATACTCCTATAAGCGGTTATTGAAGGAGTAAGCGAGGTAAATGAAAAGGACTCAGTTAGAGGTTCGTACGCTAGAAGATGATCCACTCCTTAATATCACCATTAATAACTACGATATAGTAGATAGTGTAAACGACGAGCGTATAGGAGATCATAAATCTTATACGTCAGCTATAATAGGACTAATTAGTCGCGGCATTAAGATACTAGTAAGTAGTCTACGATAAGATATACTGAATCTCTTATATCGAATTAAAGTGCCTAATATATATCGAGCGGGTATCGGCTACGATCGTATACTAAAGGTAGGAAATATACGGATATAATTTAATAGATTAGAAGTCCCTAGATCTATTAAATATCTAAGCTTATCGGCGCGAGAGACGTTAATCTATATTATAGCTTTAGCGATTCTACATTTTTAGTGCTATTCGCGATGCGCTCTAGATAATGGCGATAAATATACTTAGTAGATAAGAAATAGTCCTAGATAGGGTCGGGTTAGGCTATACTCGCTTAGTTATCACGAAGATTAAGGCGTTATATTAATATAGTAATAGTCGAGCTAGCCGTTAATCATTACCCCTCGAGCTAATAATGATCGACGAATCCACTACGGAAGGGATACTCTAGATTCTAAACGAGATTATAATCACCTAATTAAGTTACGACGAAGACAGCGAAATATTTAAGACCCGACTTTACCTTATTTATAGTAATTAAAAGACGGTAGATCGACTACGAAGTTATCGATAATCTCGCGTAGATAACTCTCGCCTATACGACTTTATAAAGTAGTTTCTTCCCTACTTAAGATAGTAACATACTAAATTTAACTATCTATAGCTAGTCTACCAGGCTCATTAGCCGTCTACTCCATCCTAAGATGACTCTACTCTATAAGTAAATACCGCCTTCTAGGGAAGGAAGCATCTATCTAATCTAAGATCATTCCGCGCGCTAGAAGAACTAGAGATATACAGCTTTCGTATCAGAATCGTAATAATGTTCATACGAAATGTACTTAAGTACGACTAACGACTACGTCGGGGAGATATAATGAAGGATATCATCTATAAGCTTAAGGAGATGTCTATCGCGACTTTCGAGGACTAGATTAATTAGATATACGATAATCTCCATTCGGATACTTATAACCCTTCATTCGGATAGGAACCGGATTAAGAACTCTAGAACTATATACTCTTTCTACGCAATATATTCCTATATCTCTTACTAAGAGATGGAATTAAATATAGTAACATCGGCTACCTCCGGATTAGCATTATAATTATAAGTCTCTATTATTAAGGTTCTAAGAGTCCTAGGTATACTAAAGAATTTCTCTACCTATTTACGATGACATATAAAGAAGGAGCCGCATACCCCGACCTATAGTATACTATATTAGCGAATAGCCTTATAAACTATCGAGGAAAGAGCGACTTACATTTCGAGAAGGATCGGGAGCTGAAATTCCTTAATAAGTTTATTAAACGAAGTAGAGCTCGCTACTATTCATTAAGTAAGCTAGCTAAGGAGGTACTTAGGAAGGCCGCACTTATTCAGCCTTAGTCTTAATTAATTACCGACCGATTTAGTACTTAAGTTACTTTTAAAGATAGGACACTATATATAGAAAAGCCAGCGTCCGAGGAGATCTAGGCGTTAGTAGGGCGACTACTATAGTTATCTATCTTACCGAAGAAACATCGTTAGAGTATATTCGTAGTACGGAGCTTCTACGAGATAGGCATGGAGAATATTAATACGAAGGTGACCCGTTTCAATAATAAGTTAAGGAACGTAGAGGTTACAGTATCTTCTAGTCTAGTATCTAAAACCTCTTTAGTCGGCGAGTATAATAAGAGTAGTGATGATGAAGCTAAGGTAGACGAGGTTACGGAAATAGGTTAATGGACTAGAGATATCCTAAGCGATAGCGAAGCCTTAAATAGTAATTTCAGTCAACCGGTAGGGGTTTAACCTACCATTTAATAGATCCATTATTTCATAGGATCTATAAAATAGTGTCTTCGTAGTTCCTATACTTCACCGTACTATATTTTCGCGAAAATTTCCGGCTAGTACTGTAGATTACATCGATTTATGAGGGTGGTATTTTAAGATTACGCCGTGAACGCGATGGCTTATATAAGTGCACGTATTGGAGCTTAGACTCGTTTGATAAAATGACCCTCTAGGGCATTTAATTGGTCCGCGCTTCAGCGCTAAGAGGACTAATCAGCGCTTACGCTTGGCAACACCGAGTCTGAGAATCTGAGACAAAGTGACTACCATTTTGAGCAGCAACCGCACTCTCACCAGGTCCAGTCACATGACAGATGATGTGACGGAATCCGCCAAGACCCTGGCCAAAGTCAACGCGCCCCCCTCCAAAAGGCCTCCTCAGTCAAGATCGTCCCCATCTCCACTAGCTGTCATTCGTCAACCAGAAACTTATGACGTTTGTGCTTCCTGTATTGTGGAAGATGACCCCGCCTTACCCGTCGTTTCAACCTCCGGCCTGAAGTGGCTTGGGATTGGGCATCGTATACCCTCTTGACGAAGACACTGTCGTCAAGGTCGCTCCGCCATGGCATAGTGATTACGCCACCAACGAAAGTCTTGATGATCTTCAGATAGAGAGGCTTGTCTATCAGCATCTGGGGACTCATCCCCGAATATCTCGATATATCTCATCTGTTCAACGAGGAATCGTTCTCGAGAGGTTTGGCGATCCGCTGCGAAAACGGCTAGTAGAGCTTCGCGGGCGAAACGAGTCTCCTTCGGACGGTCAGGCTCTGAAATGGTCAACGCAAGTGGCAGAAGGCCTGGCGTACCTACACCGTAAACACGTCGTGCAAGGTGATATCGGCTGCCATAATATACTTTTGAAATCCGACGAGGTCAAGTTGTGCGATTTTGGCGGCTCCTCGATTCACGGGAAACAAGCCAAAGTCGGTTACGAATGCCGATCTCAACGTTGGGACGATACTCACGAAAACCCGTCCATTCGAGCCGAGCTATTCGCACTCGGCTCCACCATCTACGAAATCTGGACGACCACAAGGCCTTTCAAGACGACCCCAACGACATGGTCGAGGAGAAATACAAATGCCAGCGCTTTCCGGACGTCGAAGCCAGTCCAGTAGCCGGCATCATCAAAGGGTGCTGGTATGGAACTTATGGTTCTGCAGATGAGGTTGTCACCGCCCTCAAATCACTCCAGACCGAACGAACGGTGGCCCTCAACTTCACCAATGTCAACAAGTGGACAATATTTGTTAATTCGCCTGCGTCGTCACAGCCTGCACTCTCGCACTATGGCTTAAGCCACATGCAGCTGTAAGCACTCTTCGAAAGAATCGGTTTCCACGGTATTTGTATTTCTGGGGACGTTAGGTCTCTGCGGCCAGACAGCCGGACTTGGAGAAACTTACCACAGTGGTTTCTGGCCGTTTGCCTTCACACACCGGACAATCCTGGTTGCGTTTTGTGGAACCAAATATAACACCCGGGAGAGGAGTAGCGTCTCGACATTGACGTTCCAGCCCTCTAGGATTCGGATTGGCGCAGATTGAATAGACTCTGTTGGTCACTCGGTGGCTGGCGGTACAACTGGAATAGACAAAGACCGTGTCAACATAGTGGCACATGACTTCGGAAATGGTAGCAGAGATAACACAGTCTGCGTGGCTCGGGCTTCAGGTTGTATGCTCGGCGTTGATTGTATGTGCTTCTGAGATCGACTGATGGGACAGATAGAGTAGCAAAGGAGGTCAAAACTGACTGATGGCTAGGAAGGAGCGGTCCGTACCTAGAGAATGTTCCCACTGAGAATTGCCCGAGATCAGCACTATAGGTGCACTGGGGCAGTTAGGACAACTCTGAGAAGAAGTTATTTTCCGGGGGGAATGACTTTCTCTCACGATAGTCTGAGGGCGTAGCCCCTCGTTGGTCATGTGGGCCTAGTTAGGCATCCAGCCGGTATCGGCCATTCAAGTCAGTTGGTCGCAATGGTAGTACAGAGTGGACCTCGAGGAATTTTTGCTACCACTCAACGATCACGGAGAGCGGGATGGTCATCATCTTGCAGGACAATCGCCGATGGCCTGTGACAGTCTGGAACTCCTGCAGTGATCACAAGGTGTTCCGTCGGAGTCGGTGAAGATGTTTGGACAGCGGTCTAGCGCTTGGAAAGGGTCTGCCCCTCCTGTGTAACACTGACTAGGTCACCCCCACCACCCGTTGCGCTGTCTGTTGCTCTGACCGACACAGCCAAGCCTCAAAGGAACAACCAAAGTAACTTGAAGGGCTTTCAGTCGTGAGACCTCCAGAGTGGTTGCCACTAATTTCAAGCACTTGGACACTCATAGACCGCTTGAGAACGATAAACGCCAACTTGCCTGTGCCAGTGATTGAAAACACGAATCAAGCTCAAAAACTACACGATGCCCGTAACCACTCAGCTCCGAGTCTCCTGGGCAGCAGTAACCTAATCAACACAGTCCACTTCTGTGATGTTCCGGGGCTCCATCGTGCCCCAGCCCAAGTTTGTATATGAGGACCTGACACTCTGGCCTTGACCAGTCATGCATGCACGCAAGCCGCGAAGGAACTCGAGCGAAGAGGCCTTGTTCTTTCATCAACCGCGCATATACAGACATGGTAAACAACCCGTGCCCTCGTCATGATGTCCTGGTCTCACAGGATGTTACTTGTCGCCATGGGTAGCCCTATTTCTGATGTAGTGGAGGGGGTGAATATTTCCAGTGACTAGTGGGTATTAGTGACAGTTGAGACTCGCACAACCAATCACAATCAATCACACACGAACGAACATTCAGGAGGAAAAACAAAAACAAAAATGCCTTCCTCAGATCTCCCACCAAAATGGCAAAAACTTATCACAGAACAGCTCAACCGACTGGTCTGTGCTAAGGAAAACTCGCTCCTTGCGGAGTTGGTTTTTCTCGCCCGGTTTTACTACGGAAATTTTTACTACGTGGTTGATGGTCGTCGGAATCTCGGAGGGGGAGGGGGGATTCGAATCGAGGTCCTGATGCCCGCTAACCCGGTGTTAGGTTTGACCTGACAGGACCTGGATTTGCCGTAACTGTGACTCGAACTCGTGGATTCGTCCTTTTGTTGTGGAGAAAGGGGGTCTTTGCGTGGCAGAATTTGGAGAGAGAAAACATATATACTAGTGATTTTTTTTGGTGGTGGTTGTACCGGTACCGGTTACTCCACTGTGGGTGAGGGGGGCCCGTAGTTTGTCTACACTCCCACCCAGGACATCGTTTCTACTATTTACGTATACAAAAGTCGTGCAAACAAGGCCACGACGCTGATACAATCATGACTTGCCCTTGCTGGGTTGCAGGAAGCAGGAAGCAGTGGCGGTACCATTGATATTCGCAACATCGTTCCCTCGGCTTGGGCCAGGATGATCTGAATGGCCTGGTCGTCTACCTGATAAACAATCAAGGGAGGTTTGACCCGCACTGCTGCTGTGCAGAGTCCTCGAACAGAAATTTTCCTACCAGCTCGTCATAGTGGTCCGTTTCAAATTGAACGTGAACACAGCCCAGGTAATGACACAAAAACCAGCTCATCGTCATGCCAATCTTTGCGGAACCAGGATTGCGTACTATTCACTGTCTTGATCTCAATCAGTTCCTTCTCTTCCGAAGGGCTGTTCCTTATCATTCACGCAGACACTGAGGTAGGCAGGTTCTATCTCCTCGACTGCTAGACTGACACTGACTGTTTCAAGGCCAGGTTTCTGGCTTGTCTACTTGCTCCACGATTTAGAGCACAGGGTTCAATAGCCAAGGCCATTGGATATATCAGCATTATCGTGAAACATTTGCGGCTCTTCGGAGGAGGTATCAGATCCGCATTCACGGTAATTTTTGAGATACGCGGCGGATCGAAACATCTCCCTACCATTGCTTCCATACTCGCCAGATCGCTCGCTCTTTACCAGAAGATCAGAGACAATGTTATGCCACGCGCTATCGAAAAATATATCAATACATATCCACTCCTCATGATGGTGCGAAAGAATCAAGTCGTGCAAGCATGAGGCTAAAATCCGGTCTGTCTCATCGGATATTGGGGCAAGAAAAACGACACCACACAAGTTATACGAGGGCATAAAGATGCTGAACGAGCAGTCGAGCAGTTTTCTCTGTGCGCAGCCCCGATCGCCATCTCGCCAGCCAACGAGTCCGAGTCTGGGTGCAGGGTGAGGTGGTGACCTCGCGAATATGAAGTACGAGTTAAGCATCAAGATCCAACACGCCATCCACGTCAGGGAGGTGTCGCACTTGAGCCCACAGGCCGCAGTCGGCTGCTAACTGGATCGATGTCGGCGACGAACTTCTCAATAAAGCGAGATTAAGGGTTTGGAACCGATATAGAACGTCTTCTTCACATCGTTGACTAACGACGCACAACGGGCCTTTATGTCCGAGGGAGCTAACGCCAACAGCCCCGTGAGACAGCACTCGGCCTTGGAGACCAATTAGTTCCTGCTACAGGCGCTGGTCGAGGTGATGCGTTGGTGAACGAGCTAGCCTGTCTATCTTGATCAGCGAGAGGCGGTGAAAGCCAGCCAGTGTAACAGGGATGTGGACATAATTCAGTACAGGGCCACGAAAGAGCCCGCGTTGACGATAACGACCAGCAAGACAGCGCGGCGTGGCCGGAAAGATAGCGGTGGTCCCAGGGCCCCAGGAGAAGAAACATTATGGACAACTGATAGATACACGGCCGATACCACGAGCGGCTACCACCCACTCCGAGACCGTGCCAGCACAGAACGGAATGGCAGTGTAGACGACTACGGACCGGAGCTAGAGTCCTCTTACCTGGATCGAGTAGGGCGAGAACAACCAGCACACGACGAGAGACGACACGATGACAGCCATGAGCGCGGGCGCGGTCGTGACACCTGGGGCATCTTTTGAACTCGACAGCAGAAGCCAGCTCTAACAATTACTTGATTGACACCACAGCCTGGGCAAGTTCAGACAGTCAACCAGATGTAATCAAGAGCTGTGATGGAAACCCGCTTATGGCTATCCCGGAAAGACCGGCATCGAAGCGACCGTTCGCACTTGGCTGGTGTAGATCTAGATTCTGTCCTTCGCCACAAAATATTTTCGCCAGGTTGGCGCCGAATAAGATCGCCGTGAGCCACGTTCAAGGATCTGGTGCCATTGGACAGCACGATCGATCCGTAACGTGTACGGATACGAGTTCGTGGACATGGCTGAGGATTTCTGCGAGAAGGCGATGAGAGAGATGGAGAAGGCCAGGAAAGGGGCATGGTCGAGGCATTCCTTGATCGAGGTCGTGGAGGGTGCCCAGAACGATCTCCGAGTACGAGTGCGGGTACGAAGCACACGCCCACGGCTCCGTTACTACAAAGAAACCACGGCTCGACCATGAAACAGCAGTTGTATGGGCCGGTGGACGCGACCGGTAAGATAAATGAGGCGTTGGTCAGCCTCATGAAAAGATTCGGGGCCATCTTCAAGGCCGTGTAGACCGCATGGACGAACTTGATGAAACGTCGGTCTCGTACAAGACAGAGACCTCGTGCTCGTACAGCACAATATGGCCTGCTTGGTGCCCAATGAGGAGTCGGTCGTGATCATTGTGTGACTTCGGGCCGTGGGATTAAGCTTCGCGCTAGACCTATCTGGAACTAGCATCATCAAGATAGGCCTAGCGCCATCGACAGCTACTGGCCAGTCATCGCTGCCTGGTACCTGAACGCGATGGACGATATGCACGAGGCCACACGTGCGGCCGACATCCGGGACACCACTAGGGAGCTGGCGCCTGAGTATGTACATGATCAGATCATGGTCACGGACCCGGAACGACGACGCAGAAGCTGAGAATCCACTTGGCGCCTGGGACACCGAGCTGAGAGAATGATGAGCGCAATCGAGGCTAAGATCGCCATGATGTTGGCGGGCACAGCTCTGGATAGCCCCAGGGCAGTATCGTGACCTTGAAGCAGAATGCGGGCGGCGCTAGACTCCAGAGCATCACAGACGGCGACTCGCTGATGAGAGACCACGATTCGAACCCAGTGGTGAACCTGACCTCGAACTAGAGCGTCTTATGAAACGACTTCAAAGACGTCAGCATTATCCGTCAGCGCAGTCGAAGCTCTCAAGCCCCTCCGCCACCATGAGCATGAGCATTAGAGAGCACGAACGGGAACATGAACCACACCACATTCAAAGAGCCACTCCGCAACAATGCCCGTGTATCTGCTCGGTGTTGCGGCCAACCGATATCCGAGAGGATATCTTTACCAATGTTGAATATCTGGTGGCTGCTCGGGTCGTCCCTGTTTGAAGTAAGCGTCCTGCGGACCGTTGCTGGTGACTTTAAAAACCAAGAAACACTCAGAGAAAGGGTGAATTCACTCCTGGACAAATCTCGATTTTCCACTGTAACGTCGATTTGAAGGAGCTCATCAGTCATGAACACACCTCCGCAGCGCAGGAAAGGAAGGCCTTGGAGTCTGTATTCGTTAGAAGATGGCTGAAGGTGCTGGTTGGCTCTGAGTGTTCTAGTTCAAGGACGGACGTGGGGCCGTTTATGTTGAAAAGTAGTACCCTTCTCTCTCTCCTTGGCGTTTCGGTATAACATGCCTAACATAGTTAAGCTTCCCAGTTCAAACACAAGAGTCACGACCCCGGTGAGGACTGGGTCTGGTCTCTCCTCAACGAATACATCTATTACTCGAGAGCCTAAAATGTGCATGCAGGGTGTTCTGAATGGAAAAACCGCTGCCACGGGAGCCACCCTCCGGATAATACGGTCAACAGGACCTGGACCGATTCATCAAGTCGTCTTCCTCCGACCACGACGCGTGGACAAAGGAAGAGGAGGTTCAGCACGATGTCGACACGGTTGCCGCACCGAAGCAGCTGGAAGAGAGCTACTTACCACTACCAAAAGTTTTTTGGAGATACTAAATTGCGATGAGAATGAGCGTATGTTCTTCGAAAGATCATCGACTTTTATTATATCACTACCTCGGCTCTCCCTAGGCTCAACTTTTCTTCCTTTACCAGCGCTCCTCCAGACTTTGTCGATCCACGTGCGGTGTCTTTTAGTTTTTTGAAAATATGAAATAACGAGGACAAACCAGCTGCCTACCCCCTGACCAGAAATCGAGAGGAAGTTAACCCTTCTGGAGAGATTTTGGGCTCCTCTGAGAAGCTGTTGACAATTTTGTGAGAAGATGCGAGCGCGAGTATGTGATATAAGCAAAGGAAAAAACATCTGAATATTTGCTCCTTGCTGCGTCGGGGGACCCCAGCGACCAGCAAAAAGTACCGGGACTGACATGGCAAACTCCCGCCCACCTACCTCGCCGGTCCCCCCAGAGGCAGGCACCAGAATAGACAAGCTCGCCACTGCGAGAGCTCCCGAGTGACTTGAAATGGCGTCAATTACTAATATCCAACCCAGAGGACCATGCATGGCAATTACAACCCTCATAAAAAGTTCATATTCGCTCTGAAGCTTGTTCTGGAGCTGTCTCTGCTGACTCCTTCTTTGCCCTGGCTCTCCTGTCCCCTCTCAGAGGTCACTTCCCACTTCCCACTGCGGACAAGTTATGCCGAGCACGGTGGGAAGAGCCATCGGCATCCCTCGCAGATCTTCATCAGTGAATATCCCACGAGGCAATTGTGCTTGTGCGGCTTTATTCACTGCAAAAGTCTGTGGGTTCCCTGGTCAGTCAGGAGGCAATGATGTGAAGAGCCATGACCTACCAACTGCCTTCCCTTCACTCTCAACGAATCTTCTTGTTCTTTTGCTGACGTCTTCCCGACTTTCTTCCCTCTGTGCTCATCCACAATTCCGACTTTTGACACCACGTGCTTCAAATATCGACCCCCTCGCTTCTGATACCATGGCCTCTCGCCTCCTTCTTTCGCTCGCCATCGCTCTATTCACGTTGGCCATGCTCGGCACCCAGCTGGAGGACACGCTCGTGAACATTCCTCCAGAGATTGCATACCGGATGCAGGTCGCCGTGGATGACTGTGTGGCACTCGCGACGTTCGTTTCGGTGACCTTTGACGAATGTGACCCGGTATACCTGCGATTCTTCCCCCATGACGATGCCGCGTTTGTTCAACAAGTCTTTCGCCGAATCGCCAACATCCCGCCAAACGTGGTACTAGGCCCATCTGACTTTGCCGGCATCATGCAACACCGCGCTGCCATCGGCTTAGATCCGCGCCTGGTGGATCTGGTCATCACGTACGGCAACCACCCGCAGGGGCAGATCCAAGACTGTGGGACCGACGAGGACCCTGAGGCGTTCTTCGCACTGCTAAATTCAGGCCAACCCTCCGTCAGCATCTGCCCGCAAGCTTTTGAGAGATACCCGGACCTCATGGAGATATTAGACCCACCCGCGTGGGCGAGAGATGCACAGGGACACCCGGACCCGGGCTTCGGATGCGATGGCCTGGGCGACCACGACTCGGAGCTCATGTGGTGCGTGGGCGCAATATTGCTGCACGAGATCCTGCATTATCCGGACCTCTTCAACGACATCCCCCAGTTTGACAAGCTGATCAACTTCCGCGGACCGAGACGGTCGATCGGTGACTTTTCGGGCCCCAGTCCCCCGAACGGTTACGGCCCATATTACTCTCGCGTCCTCCAGTTCCTCTCTGCTGTCCGGCCCGGTGACTACGGACCGCATGAAGCCATCAACAACGCAGACAGTTATGCCACGTATGCCTTGTCGGTTTGGTGGAGGTGGAGGTGCCAGAGGTCTTTTCGGGAGTCGGTCACGTCGATGGACGCATGGCTTCGAGATCCGCCTCCACGGCCTTTTCCACCACCACCATCAGTACAACAGTAATGGCACAGCAGGAAGTGGATGGCGCACCGACAAGTCAAAGGTTCAATGATGCGTGGAGTCGCAAGCGAGATTGAGACAGACGCGGGTTGTTGTTGGTCGATGATCAAGTACTCAGAGCGACGAATGACGAGTACGTTTGTCTGTTTCGCTTACTTTGGCGCAGAAGACCATAGATGTGGGGAAGACATGGACGGCACATTTGTATGAGCAACAGGCTCGAAAGAAATAATAGATATGGAATGGGACATGGACGGTACATTGTGTCAGTATCGGGCTCGAAAGCTTTCCAAAACAAAACAAAAGGAAGGAGAAAGAGTGAGGGCCAGACGGAGAAAATTATTACTTGATCAGGCAGGAATATCAATATACCTTGAATCCAATCACTTTTCGTCTATTGCTTTGTAAGTAATATGTGCTTGGAGCCCCGTCCTTTTGCATTGTATCAAGCAGATGGACATCCGCAGGAGGGAAGGGAGGGTCGTGTTGACAAGACAGCTTGAATCCCCAGTGCGCAGTGATGATATCCCTCGCCTCGCCGTGGGCCAGCAGGCATTGATTAACGCGAGAGTTGAGATACGGGCGAGTTTGTCGTGCCCTATAGCCACCATCCTACTCACCGGCAAATCTTTTGACCTCTCCAAGCCTGAGAAGCAGCTCGCTAATAACTAACCCGAGTCATGTCCAAGCCACTCTGATGAGGTTCCCCCAGTACTGTTCGTAGTCCGTAAACCAGCCCTGAAAAAATTGGCCTTGACCGTCCGAGGTACGAGGGCTCGACGGACCATTCTGTGGAGAAGGTCCCAGCTGTATAACACCATCTTCTTGAGCCCATGTCTTATCTTGAACTCGTGCTTTGTCTTGAAACCTTCTCTTGTGGCCATCAAACCAAGACCGTTTGTCCGCTCCAGCTCGCTGGCAGAGTTTCAGAAGGGCCGAACCGCGGGTCTGTCGTCATTCCGACGTCCGTCCGTAGGTTGAAGGTACTCAAGCGATCTTGCAGACGTACAAAGGTGGCATCTCAGGCTCTTCGCTGTGCGGTGACCAAGAGACAGAAAGGAGGAGGAGGGGGCTGAGAGGGTCCCTTTGCGCCGAAAATTGGTCGGACGGTCCTCGTCATGCCCAGAAAATGGACAGGAAGGAAAGGACGGCCTCAAAGAGGGGCGCAGCCGGAAGCAAGTCGTCTTGAAAGCATCCTGCTCGGGGCGTTGCCCTTTCCTGCCTCCTGCGGCAGCACGGCATACAGAAGGACAAGAGTCTTCCAGAAAGTGGGTACAAGATGGAGAGAAGAAAGAATGTCGTTGACGTGTTTCTCCACGTGCTGAGTGGGAAGACCAGCCTTATCGTTGCTTATCACGTGCATATTCAGTGATTGTGTCGATATAAATATCCACCGCGGCCTTTGTTTTGGTATCAGTTTGATTTTATCCTTCTCACCAACTCGCGACAGAAATGCAGAGCCTTCCTCACCGTCGCCGCAGCGATGCTGGCCCGCAAGCCGTATCACAAGCCCAAGCCACTACCACAGACCCCTGTCACGCCGATGCGACAGAAAGACCCGCTTTGTCCTACATGCAGTGTGACACCACAGGCAGGCCCCCTAACTCGTTGCCTTCTTCGGACCACTCTACTTCCAACTTTTTGGATCACCCCCTCACTGTGCCTGTCATTTTCAAACAAGTGCACGACCGCCAATCTGGACGAGTTTCAGGCACTGAATGGAACACATATCACGTATCCCCTTCTCAGTGGGCGACCCTCCGAGAACTTCTTGAACGCAGTGACATCTGGGACAAGCTACGGTACGCACAGGGAGTAACCACCAGCTGAATTTGTAGCTAATGTGAAGATTATTTTTAAGGGTCAACTATTTCTCCCAAACCCAAACCTTTGTTCATCAAATGCCTGGCCTGATCCATGACGTGGCCCGCGGGGGGTTCGCCAAGCTCTTCTTTAGAGACCTTGACTCGATATGCCGCGACACGATGGATGGAGAAGCGTTCATGGATCAGGTTACGAGCCGTGGCTCCAGCGATGTGGTGAGCATCCGAGGCCCGGGCCTGCATCAACCAGACGATTGCTTCTGTTGTTTGGACGATTACTTCTATGGTGTTGTTCTAGAGGTGGCGTATTCGCAAAAGTCCGAGGAGCTCGAGAAATTGGCTCAGTTCTACCTGTTTGAATCCTCTCTGAATATTCGAAAGGTCATTGGCATCTCCTTTGACTACTTTCGGTCCAAGCGGATCACTTTGCACGTCTGGAAACGCGACAATTCTGGTAAAACCGCCGGTGGTCAACTTCGACACTACTCTCGAGTCAGTATCTCTGTCACGGCTTTGCGAGATAGCGTCACTGACCTTGGTGCCTAGGAAGTGCGAACCGAGGCTGGCGCGCAGGTCTCTGGTCCTCCTCTCAAAATTTCTGTCTTCGACATAGCACCACCGGCTCTCGTACCGTCTTCGCTCCATGGCGCAACGATCCAAATCCCGCTGGACAAACTCTGTCACTACATCGAGAAAGCGGAGCTCGCGAACGCGGAAGAGAAGAAGAGGATGGAGGCACTACAATCTCAGCGTTTGGATGGCTCGGACCGCGGTGATGATGACTCTTCCCAGGAGAGTGAGGATGAAGATGGCGCAGGCACAAAGACACTTGATGAAGATTATGTTCCAAGCCGAGTCGGTCGCAAAGACCCTGAGTCAGGTCGGTCTCTAATCCGAACCCGTAGCCGGACTAGCGGCGCATTCAGCGGCTGATGGCGAGGGGACCCGTCGACATGTCAAAGCGGCTTTGCCGAAGCAAGTGCTGGAGCTTCTGGTTGAGGCAAACTAGGCGAAAGGTGAATGGCAGGGCGGTTGCTCAGGTTCTGCCGGCGAAGTCGGGTCTGGGAGTGACTTGCGGTTGGATGGCGATGGCATGGTGGACACGACGACGGTTGGATCTCGCGTCCGACGCCCAACAGCGCCTACTGGCACCGGTAACACTGTGCATTTCTTCCCTCCATACACAATGAACAACTAAGATATTTCTACTACCACTGCTCGGATCGGACTTTGATGCATTTCTGAAGAATGCCGTGCCCAGCCTGCGAAGAAATTTAAACACCAGGGTGAATCGTCGTAAACCGTCGCCACCGTCATCGCCGTTAATCGTGGTTTAAAAAGGTGAGCCAGACTAAACGGTGCCATATACCATAAAGTAGACAGAGAAAAAAAGATCCGTCGAATGGCCGGTCTCTTGGAGTCGAAATCAACAGTGAGAGTCAATCTTAAGTACTGTATACCAAACGGCTTTCCATGCCACATCCATCGCAAAAAGGGCAGAAAAAAAAAACAATAGCCAACTTGTGTGTCTCCTCTTCAGTTCATTTTGCACCGTAATTTGAAAACCCCGTCGTGTTTTTTTTTTTCTTTTTTTTGAACACCCATCACGGAGGTTTCTCCGCCTGTCCATATCTGTGAACTGGCGCCGGTGTACAAACGGCACCGCCGCTGCCGCTGTAATACTAATCTACTTAGATTGACATGACCATGGCGACCGGGTGACATTAGCACATTTGTATTTCACCAAGATGATCGTGCAGCATCAATATCCCCTTCCAAAAGTAGCATCAAAAAGCCAACCATTTCGCCTTTGGCCATAGCGTCCGAATGGCCGTCCTCATGGCACCGACAGCCACAAACTCTGTCCCTCTGCTGTGTGATAAGCATGACTCGTGAAAATCAGTTGTGCCTGAAGTCCCGCGTCCGGGACACATCCAAGAAGCAGGCTTCAGCCAGCGATCGTCTCAATCAGGTCAATGCGTTGTCTTCTCGGACACTCGACTCGTATTTCAAATTCTTTTGTTTGTAATGTCGAATGCATAGAGTTGAACAACCCCCAAAGCATTGTCGCGTCTCCTGGAATATTGCGTCTCGCCGCTGCCTTGCTAGCCCAGCCAGGGACGGCACACGGCAGTGGAGTGAGTAATGAAGTCGAGACTATCCTTTGGGCTGGCCCTCTTGCAGACCCAACTCTCACGTCACGGTTGGTTGGTCATGGTCCTCCAAGTAGATGTGGCAGAGTCGGTTGATATGCATTTGAGGTGTGAAGTTGGAATTCACCCAATGAAAACACAGTTGACAGAAAGGACCGCGCGCCGCAGCGTGGTACGGAAGCGAGAAGAGTAAGTCGTCCAAGGGGAGATTGGAGAATGCGATCCTGAACTCCGACATAACAGTGGCACACCCGGCCGATGTGATAGGAGCGTGTCAGAAGCCACCCATGACACTAGATCGTGGACTTTGGCATCCGGGATATCCTGCCAATGACTTTGGTCGCTACTGAAGACCCACGATCTGCACTAGAACGCTGTGGCTCGTCACTTGAGAGGGTGTGGTAGAAGAGTGGCCGTGGCTGAAATACCGTCGACGTCGACTGCTCCTGACCAAGCACATTACTAGTCGAATGTCTGACTTCGCTCCTAATAGCCATCGAAGCACCATCTCTTCTCAATGGCTGGTCCAGAATACATTCAGGGGCAGGCAGGCAGACAATGTCCAAGAACAAATCGACCTTGGCCCTTTCGATCGAAAAGGGGCTGAGGAATGGTCCGTACGCTGCTTGAACAATGTTAGCTGACCGCATACATTCACAATCTCATCTCGCGCGGCTCTCAGGGTAGTTCACCGACAATGTCGCTAGGGGTGACCGTAATTTCAGACGTCGATACCTTTTTCAACGTCTCTGGAGAATTACCACCGATTTCTCTGCATTCTTCGGGGGAAAAACTTTAGAATTTTGTCTTTGTGGGTTCCGCATTCTCGGTGGGCGGCAGCGAGTCCTGATTGATCATACGGGGGGTAGGTTCAGATGACAATTAGGATGGAGAAGCTGTTCACCTGCTGGTTGATCAGTCTGTTGGACGAGCACCATAGGCTGGATCGTTTGCACGTACTTGTTCTTATACATGGATGAAAGCAGTCCGCGTGGGGTCCCTTCATCACCCTGTTTTTTGTCGAGCACGCCAATAAGGCACACGAATATCACATGAGCACTCTTCTCGTACATAGAATACACACATAAATGCCAGATCTCAGCAAGCAGAGCATCGGGGGGGATACAAGGGTCAAGATTCGCTTTATCGATCACAAGCGCCAATACGCTTCATGCAAGGGCAGATTCCCAGATGGGGAGGATGATATCTCAGAGTCATTGGGATTCGTCGGTGCTGTTCCATTCGGGATCAGTTGCCCGTCCTCCAAGTCTTCGCAAAACCCACACGAGCGATTGTCGCTAGCTGTCAGTGTTGCTGTTAGGTACTGCTGTCTCGATGTGCGATTGAACCGACGAGTTGTAGTACAAAGGACCAACCAAGATGTTTCTTGGTCGACAGCGAGGCTGTGCCGCAGCGTAGGCAGAGGCTAGTCTCGGCGCGTCACGTCACGAGTTAGAAAACGACATGCGATTCGATATGTCTGTGCTAGTCGGGCAGAGAGGGCTAAAGGCGATATTTGTTAGCTACAAATCATGAGATACTGTTTAGAGACCTTGATTGAACCCAGAGTGGTCCGTTCCCTTTGTGTATATAAATCCCATATCTCACTCTGTGCTCAACACCACATATTTGTACCGCTGATGTATATTCTGACGCAAGCTAGATGGACTGATAAAGGTAGAGAAACAAACGCCTCCTGATCAGCGAGGAGGAAACTCCTGTAGCTTTCCAAACTTCCCAATTACGTGACATGAGCAGAGCCTCCGCCTCGCACCCGCAGCCTTGTCACTGAAAGCCTTACATTTTTATACCCCCGGCAGGCTCCTGTATAGCAGTTTTGAATCAGGTACAGAATAAAAGACCTCCAGTGGAGATATCCTCGAGACAGTACTCCACTGAGTAGGGGAATGGTCTCTATCATGACTTGATGTAATCGTTGCAACATGAATCAGTAGTGAACTTCATTCGCCCTCTGTAGTTCCCCCAGAAGCTGTTCGCTAAACCTTCACTTCCTCGCCTCCGACACACATCACATGCTACAGGGGAGTCCCACTTTTTTTCCAACAAGTGTTATTAATTATAACAGCGAAATCCCCTCCAACAATTGCCGGATCAGGTCTGCATCAATCTGTAACACCAAAGTTCAGGGGTTCAACTCGAACTACCTTACCCTTGATTTACAAATTTCCAACCACATGGTGGTGTGATGTATGGGCTCTTCCTGGCTCCGCTACTCACTCACTAGGAATTGATGACTGCAGTCCGCATTGTTACAACAACAACGACAACGACAAATCAAGGCTCAAAGCGAGAGAAGGGGGAGGGTATATTATGGGGTTGAGCGCTCACGGAGGAAGAAAGAGGAGGAGGACGAGCAGGAGAGATCCACTACGGGAGGAGAGAAGGACTTCTAAAGTCCAGGAAACATCAAAAAAATGTGCCCATTGCACCAAGGGCTACGTTTTCTCCTAAATGGAGTTTTTTGCAGTTTTATTGGTTTTTAAACCTAGCATTTTTGTGTGTGTGTGTGTGTGTGTGTGTGTGTGTGTATGAATTACCATGCCTACAGGAGCAAGTGAGCCGGCCGAGTAAATATACCACCTTCTTCACCCAGCCAAGACAAGACATATCTACCCGTAGTCATAACAAACTGATCCAACGGGTTTCGATACGAGGCGGACATAGTGAGAGGCTCCAGCATGACATAGCCCCTGTGAAATGGAAGGGAGTTCCAATCGCTCACTTTTTTCTTTCCTTTCCCAAAGCTTTACTACGATTCATCACTAATGGAACCATGGACATGATACTGAATGACGCACCATGTTCTTCATCTTGTTGCTATTCTATTGTCATCCCGGCTGCGCTGACCCTTACACTATTGCAGAGCGGTCGGTCTATGGCTGAGATTCAACGGCGCATGTCGCGAGAGAAAGGAGAACAACTATTAACAAAGGAGAACACGTACAGAGAATACCTCTGCGGAAGACGGTTTACGTGGGGAGGTGAATATCGTTAAGAGTCGAGGTACCACTTCCCTGCAGCCCGGTGGTCTTTCTGAGCGCGGCAATCCTCCCTTTCAACTTTGCAAAAGGTACATCCAAAGCAAGAGTTGAGGCATCCAGTCAGCTGCAGCTGGCATATGATTAAAGCAGAACCTGTGGCTAACGAGGCAACACAGGCGTTCAAGCGCGTTTCGTGCAGCCTGGGTACCGGTGCGACACGACCTTACCAGCATGCACTTGAAAAGATATATCGATGCCGAGAACAGAACATCAAAATACAGAGCCGCCCTGATATGAATAGCACTGCACACATATCTCTGCTTCTGGGTGTTGACAAGGCGGCATACGTGATCTGGACAGCAGCGGAGGTGATCGGAGAACGGATGCTGGTTCCCAGCGCACCAAAGAATCAGCAGTTGCCGCAAGAGAAACGAATGCAACGACATTGAACAGGCCCACAAACAATATCATTCGTCAAAACACTTGGAATATCTATCAGCCATCAGTGTATCGCGATCTGAGGAGACGCGCTGTGCATACTGTGCCATGGCATGTTGTTTAAACTGTGCCCACCTCGGCCACCACCTACATTTCCATCCCTTCCCTCCTCGTCTCTCCGGCCCCAGAGTCAACAACAATCAAGAAGCATCTGAAGATTCTATACCGAAAAAGACCGTGTCTCTCTATCTGTCTGTCCGTGCCATGCTCATGGCCCGCTGAAGATCTTGCCAAGTCGCGGTTGAGTCTTAGTAGGGCATTTTTGTAACGGGATATCAAGAGGAGAGAGAACGAGGGTCACGTATATCTCAGCAAAGGGGTTGTTGACTTGCCAAGAGGCGCCAATGCAAGAGGACGTGCGCGGGCCGCGAAGAGGCGTGGGTGCCGGTGATGGCCCGTGCACCATGCTCCGTGCATTAGCGCCCCTTGGCAACTCAATACGGAGATAAAACGCACCTTTGTGCCAAGCTCGTCACAGTGGATTATGATGCCAGAATAACGATATATCTCGACCATGGACATTTTGCCACACCACGGTTTGGACAGATCCAGAATCGAGCCATGGTGCATCTTCAGATCCTCTGTGCTTTTCGGGGTACGGCGCGACGAAATATCTAGAATGTACGAACATCTAGATAATTCCTCCGTGCAGATCACAGTACCCTGGATCCGTGGGCCACAAGATGCCGGCCCGCTCAAAACAGAGAGTTTGTTGACCAGGTTGTCAATTGCCGCCAGATGCTCCTCCAAATGGTCGTGCTCGTCTTTGGCGTGGCTAGACCTTGTCGATTGCGGAATCGCGGCCGCCCGATCAGGGGTTTGGGGAACGGCGGGTACGTGGCATTTGGGCAGATTCTGGCAATCGTGTCTTCGGGGGGCAGGTACATGGGCTGCGCCATACTCTCCAGCGGGGGGGTCTGTAGGCTTTGCGGCAGCTTGAAGAAGCAGCCGACAGCGCGGGACTCGTTGACCGAGACGGTGAGCTGATTCGGACGAGGAAGCAGGGTGAAGTCGACAGAGGCATCACTCTGGGAGAGGAAATATCCGTGACTCGACACTAGCCTGAGGGCCTACACGTCCCGCTGATAATGCGCCAGAGCCACCAGCAGGACTTGAAGCAGGGTTGCGGGGCCGAGACGGGAGCAGCTAAGTAGCTGAGTGATATGTCAGACCCTGGCATCTGTTGAGCATGGCACGATCGATACAGCTCTGAGGCGTCTGATTGCTGCGTGGCTTGATCACAAGGCCACCTCGAGCAACCGCCGATCCACTGTCCTTCCGGCTGTTGAAGTCCAAGCAGAAGAGAAGGGCACGGGAGCGTTTCACGGTCGGTCGGCTGCCACAAACGCCCCGGAGGTTGGTCTCAATAGTTAGCCTAGATATTGCAGTGATTGCCAGCTGTCACTGCGGCGTTGTAGTTACATTGTCTGACAGAGAATTCGCGTTGCAGATTGCGAGAATGACGGCAGTGAGTACAGCGAGTCAAAGGTACCGAGCGCAGAGACTGTGCCCACCAAGTCAGGCTGCGGGCCTTGGCATCGAAGATTATCTAAGGCATTTATCCTATACTGATTTAGGAAGGTAGATTGCTCGCTGACATCACTACTTCTGTCACATGACCAAATGAGTCGTCATCAGCGAGGCCGGAAAAACATTATTCCAGTAGATGAAGGCTTCGGATCTTTTGACGGCCCGACGTTTTGACCATCTCTGTCAATCGACTCTTGGCAATCTCAGCCTTGCCTGATCAGGCCCGCGCCCCCTGAATGCTTAAAAATCTAAAGGAAGTCCGACGTCTGCCTGTCAAAACAACACGGCTTCACGACAATGCTTCTTCTCAGGCCGACCACATGACGGACACGTCTGACGAGTAGTAGTGGGGGTCAGGTGGGACATTGACATGTTGGAATCTTGCCACAGACACCTCTCAGGGTAAACTGGCACCATTCTCCATCTCTCACCGTGCCCTCGTCGCACGGATCGGGAATGGTGTACCAGGTGCGGCATGAAAGGTTTGATTTTCCGTCTGTCTGTGCTATCTACTTGCTTAGACCCTCGCCTGTTGACGTACGCATCAGTTTCCCACGCGTTCAAAAACCGTCTGTGCTCCATGTCCAACCGTGGTGACCGGAAGTAATTATGTTGCTGCCGCCGTGGCAACGTTGACGATATTGCTCAGAAATCCGCGTGACAACGGATCTTCTGATCCCGAAACTTTGTCAAGAAGGTTACAAGTAACCCTGGACGTGAAGATGTTCCCTTCGAGTGAGGGCCCGCCCCACAAGGCCAATTGTGTGGCGATAATCAATAGATGCTCGTAGACTTGCGAGACAACTGGGCGCTTGTCGTATCCATGTCGGCTAATAGTGACTGTATTCTTTGCGGTTACGACATCGAGGATATAGTTGTGATTGACGTGACTTGCATCCGCTGAAACATGCCTGCTGCAGTCATCGGTGAATTTGCCCACGGGAATGACTGAGACCCACCAGCGGTTGAGAAACTCAGCAGGCCTATTCAGAACTATCTATTTGGGGTCAGGGGTCAGGCAGCACTCGAACTCTCTGCCGCTTGCCAGGCCTTCCCATGGCCATAATCGGTCGGCGTCTGTAGAGACGAGCAAATCAAGTGAACTTCTGCTCGGGAAACTGCCTGCCTTCATATATTCCCTGACCGGAGTCCATGAGACCACTCTTCACCCTGCCCCGTTACGGTTGTCTGTGTCCGGATGGAGAACGACGAGCCTGGACAAGATACGCGGGCAGTTGATACTGCTCCCCTTCATATGTGCCCTGGTTGGCTGACTGACTGACTAAACTGGCCAGAAATCCCTCACTTGTCCTCTTCTCTGCTTTGGCCCTTGGCCCAGGGGCGAACCCCTCGTTTGCGCAACGGAAATCCTTTGCCCTTTTGCCCTTTTGCCAGACAGGCAGCCAGGTAGATAGACCATCAGGGCGCATGCACCCTAAATACATTGTTCTCTGTCCTCAGTTCTTTTCTTGTTCTCCAGCTCCAGCAAAACGCAGTTCACATGGCCAGCCAACAAGCCAAGCCAAGCCAGGCCTGGTTTTTTGTGTGATGTCTTATTCGTAGCATGGCGCGAGGGGCAGGTATCACGGCAACCATCTGCGCCGTTATTGAAACAAATTTCAGTACCAAGGTTTTTTACTTGATTTGACAACGAGATCATGCGGCAGCAGCGCAACCAGTGAGCGCATCTCGTCGCCTCTCCACGAAAGCTACCCATGTATTCGCGCATATAATGCGTGTGTATGTATGGTCGAACCCATCGCATCTATGAGACGACACGTCAATTCAAATTTTGGCATGACACGACACTCGGGGAGACTAGATGTCATCATCATCATCACCTTGTGCAAGCTTGCTAGTTGACGCGTGTGAGATGCACCACAACGTGGCAGATCTGCGGACCCGAGCTTGTCGGTAGGTAACGGTAAGTATAGGAGGGGGCAGTACTGCGGTATCAGGAGAACCGAGGGAAGGACGAGAAAAGGGGGAGGAGCGTACAGTAGATAGCTCGCTAGATGTCAGAGGAAGAGAGAAACAAGAGATACGAGATGGTAAACAAGCAAGTTTGTTGTGATACGTAGTGGGTACTCAGAGGACAAGGGCGACGGCGACGGCGACCGGCGACGGCGACCGGCGACGGCATAGAAGGGGGGTACAGGAATAAAAAAAACCTAGAAATGTACAAGAGTCTCAACGTATAGGGCAACGAGAGTCATGGGCCATGCAGGATTAAAAGGAATAGACTGACAGGCAGACACAGAAGAGCAGGTCCGAATGTTTTTTTGATTTTTCTCCCCGAGTTTGTGAACGAAAAGAAGCTATTTACTCTGAACAGTGTGCTTTGTTGGTGGTAACGCCGAGGCATGCTGACGAAGTGGCCTCAGTGATACTGCGTTTGAGAGCAACACTACGCAGGTCCGTATTTGCGCGGAGCTACCACCACCACCACCATGTCGTCGTCGATGTCATCAACGACATTTCCTGGATTTGCTTTGTTGGTGGTAACACCGAGGTATGCTGACGAAGTGGCCTCAGTGATACTGCGTTTGAGAGCAGCACTACGCAGGTCCGTATTTGCGCGGAGCCACCACCACCATCTCGTCGTCGATGTCGTCAACGACATTTCCTGGATTTTCCGCTTTGAACGCCAACTTCAGGTACTCGCATAGTTTTGCAGTAGAGATTTTGATCTCGGCCACCTCGGCTGGGAGCGCGTTGACCATGGCTCGGATTTCCTGAGTCGGTGCGAGGTAAGCGAGCGACAAGCTGAGACCGGTAGAGTTTTGGTTTGGGTGACCGTCGGCAGTGCAGAAGACCTGGAAGTGTAAAAAGGAAAACATTAGTCTTTTTGTGTACAAGGTTGACAGACGAGAAAACAAAAAAAAAAAAAACTGACCTCTTCCTTCACGAGTTGCTTGACATCGAGGCTCTTGCGGCCATCCGACAAGTCGGTCAATTTTGGGATCCAGACTGACAATGTCGCTTCGTTGCCTGCTGGGTATGGCAGCTTGAAGCCGACGACGCAACGAACTCTTCCACCAGAACCAAGTATGTAATCCTCAGCAAGTCGGGGAAGGTCCTCTGCTCGCTGGGAATGGGCCACTTCCATGACGACTCCCGGGAACCGTGCGCCCAGATACAGCAACGAGCCATCGGGGCACTTTTCAAAAGTGCTGCCCTCGACAGTCAGAGCGAGCTTTGCCGATGCGGTATTCAAGACATTGCCACCGAATCCATCAAGGGACGGATGTTCCAAGCGTGCAAGACCGTTGAGGATGTCACGTACAACCGCAGGGGCAAAGGCCGCGTGAACACGGGTTTCGGCGCCCATGGCGAATTCTTGGGTGAAGGGGGAATAGAAGGTTCTGCAGATCATCGTAGGTCAGTTTCAAATCGTCGGAAAATGTGAGGTCTGAATCTCTTACTCTAGGCCACGGAACGTGTCGTCGTTATCCAAGAACTCGGTGAGCTGGTTGTAGGCAGCGGGGCTCAACGGGAAGCGTATCCAAGTGTGTGGCTTGACATGAGATGAAGACTTGAACTCTTGCACGGCACGAACTGCGTTGTTGAATTCGTCATTCACAGACAACAACAACAACGGCGGCGTGACTTTGGGTGCGTCAGGCTGCGACGGGGTGGTGGTGATGTCGTCTTGGCCGTGTGATTTGGGTGACGGCTCGGCGACTTTGCCATCTTTGGCGTCCATCTTGAATGTCGAGTATGATTTCCAAGATGATCAAGTTCAGAATGGATTGCTGTGGACGAATGTTGTTTGTGGATGAAAGTTGTGTGAACGAATTTCGAAATTAGTACTACATATATAACTACGGTCGATCATGTCGCCACTGCCCTGCCTCTCCGGCGAGGCACAGCGACAGCTCGTATATAGCACTACGGTCGATCATGACGTGACGGCCACTGCCTCGTCTCTCCCGCGACGCACCAACGCCCTTTGTCTTTGTCTTCTGCTGTGCGCAGTCACGACTGACGATCTTCACAAAGGGTCTTTCCGTTCTCCTGGCGTCACAGCTACCAGCTAAGCAGAGTGCAGATAATAGACAGAAAAGGAGGCCAAGGTTCAGTATGCGTTGTTCCATTCAGATCACAGGCCGGCAGGTAAAAGTTCAGTTGGGCTAACACTAGCAGGACAGCACCACAGCGGATTCCAAGGCACGACACATCTCCTACACTACAATACACGAATCTCTTCCTTCTTGTCAACGTTGCAGCCTACACTGGTGGTCTTCGCACCGAGTGCTGGTACATATATAAGGAGGAGGAGGAGGAGTCGGTGCTCATGTAAAGAAAGCAGAAGTGGGGAGACCGATGGCCAGAGAAAGATTGTATCGAGTCTCTTGCTTTGCTCGATCTTCGATACTCGATACAGGATGCAGAAGAGTGAACCGTCACCAGGACAGCTCCCTCAGACACGGTACGTCCGTGCTCAATGCTCAAAGCAAGAAGCGACGTTCTGTTTTCCACCCTTTTCACAAGTTTGACGGATGACCACGCAAAACTGAGCCCCTGGTGCGGTGGGCGCACCGTTCCATCTTGTTTGTCACACAGTACCCCTCGGGAAGAGAGAACATCTCACTTGGAATGGCCCGGCCCGGCGCCTGGCTAAGTCGTTCGGACTACTACTTGGGGTGGAATGAACAAAGTTCACGATTTCGACAATCTTTGCAAAGGTTGCCGGCGGGGCAGCGCAGGAATTACATCAATCAACTGTGGCACATCACAAGTCTTTTTACATTTGAAATTGACGGCAAGACAGATAGAAGCGCGTGCCATGTCTGACAGAGCTCTTTGTGCGAGTATTGCAAATGCCATGAATCAAGCAAAGTAAGGAAGCCGGGCTGATCTGAGCGGACCCGAGCAGTCTGTCTGTGAGTTGAGTAGTGATTACTAAGTATTCTGGATATTCGACCGACTCGATGCGCCGCTGCATGCGCCAGGTGGGCCGATCTTGCCAACATCTTCAGGGAAATGAGAATGGATAAACACAAGAGAAAGGAGTGTTGGAAATATTGACTGACAATTATTACACCACACGCCCAACTTTGGATCATGAAATCCCTAGTTCTCGGAAAGATATCGCAGTAATAACAGATATTCAAGTTGTTCATCTGACCACTCTCATCACTCTGACCACTCTGGGCACTCTTGCAGGCACTCTCACGTCGTCAGTTCCGAGCTGAGCAAGCTTTTTCGTTTATGCGAGCTTTTCCAGTCCGCCAGCCGGCGCGGACTCCGCATTGACCGAATGTCAATAGAAGTAATGTTTTCTATATGCCTTGCTGTGCCAGCAGCGGGTAGGTAGACAATCATATCGAAACAGAAAGAAATACGAACAAAATAGACAGACCGTCTGCGCAAGATAAGGCTAGGCCGGCGACAATAAGAAACACATCCCCTTTTATATCCTCTTTCTCATGAAGAACTTTCATCAAGTCGACATCATCCCAGTCCCCCCCTCTTGCACGCGCCTGCCTCGTCTTCTTCTGATGAAGTCACCATTTCGCACGTTTCCATTTCGGCAACCACTCCTGCACGTGCCAGCGCTCGGCGGTTTCGGGTCCAAGCTCTGTCGAATGCGTTTGTTAGACTTGTCCACATACTTATCCAAGTGTCCGGTGAGCAAGCACTTACCACGGGAAAGCTAACTCGAATAATCTTCGGCCTGCGCCCATGCCTCCATGCTTGTCCAGTAGGGATGGCATGCCGGGATCGGGTGGTTCGGGATGGCAGGTTCGAAGGGGTTGTCGGTGGTTACCGTGGATCCAAGGTTAGCGTCAGGTCGTGAGGCCAGGATAAGAGCTGAGGGGGTGATCACGGTCGGGGCTGGTACTGGAGTCGAGCGCATCATGGGAGTTGAGGCGACTATTGAGGTCGAGGGCGCTACCATGGTCGACGGAGTCCACCCTTGAAATGGCCAAGCGCTGTCCAAGTGCCCAGCAACAGTAGCAGCAGCAGCAGTCGGGTAATATGTCATCGGTCCTGTATTCGGCCTCGAAGCGACGAGGTTTGGTGGCTGGATTGGACTCGTCTGGGCAGTGTTTCCATGGACAGGTCTCGCGACGTAGGCGTCATCGTCATACTCTTCTTCCAGGTACAAGGGAATGTAGCCTTCATTCTCTGCCGTCGTGACTCCTGGAGGCGCGTGTTGCTGCTGGTTTGGAAAAGCCTGTGCCGAGATTGGATGATGTTGCTGATGAGGTGGGAAGGCCTCCATCGAGATCGACTCAATGTATTGCGGCTGAGGCTGAAACCCCTGTATCGAGACCGACTGGTTCTGCTGTTGAGGCTGAAACCCCTGTATCGACATTGAATGGCATTGCCGGTGGATTGGAAAGGGGACCAAGGTGCTCGGTGCCGTGCTGTCGGTCGTGTTGCAGAAGGGTTCGCACTGGTGGTAGATGTCACGCTGTCCGTGGGTCCCGTAGGGAGGATAGCCCGTGTTGACCATGCCGCTGTAGTCGGTCTGCACTGGCATCGTTCCCGGAGTGGGTTGATTTTGCACGTAAAGCAGCGGTGATGCTTTAAACGGGAAAGTCGGTGTTTGGAATGCCGAAGACGAATTGGGTTGTTGAAACGATGAAGCAGGTTGCTGTAAAGAAGAAGCGGACTGTTGAAGTGACGAAGCCGGCTGTTGAAATGACGAATTGGGTTGTTGAAACCATCTAGACGGCTGTTGGAAAGACGGTGCGGGCTGCCGGAAAGAAGAAACAGGCTGTTGATACGACGAGCAGGGTGCTACAAACGAATGAGCTGGAGTTGACACGAAGCCGCTCGTTATACCGCCAGGGGGGTCGGCGTAGTAGCCATACCCACGCGGGTGTGCTGGAGCACCCGCCAGCTCACCGTATGCAGCGCCGTTGTTGTAGACGCCGTTCATGAGAGGAACCTGTCCCACCGGTGTGAAGGCGGCGCCAGGAAGCACGTTCTGCGACGTGGGCTTCGGGGACAGCGTCCACTCCAACAGAGTCCTCTTGGCCGTCGCCGGAGTAGTTCTCTTCTTGCCCTTGTGAGTGACGTAGAAACAGTGCTCCGGCTTTTCGCAATTATTGCATGGTTCCGCGTGATTGCACTTTTTCGCGATTTTTTTCTTCCTGCAGGCTTCGCACGCGCGACGGCGGTAGGACTGTGGACGTGATGGTTTGATTTTGATCACCGACCTGTCTGACTCTTGGCTTAGTGACATCGGACGCGTGGTTTCTTTCTCGGACTTGTCGTCTTCAACCTCGACGTCTTCGTGGGGCTTGACCTCTCCCACGCGGAGCTTGGGTGTGTCTGAATCACCTCTGCCAATGGCGTTTGCTGCCACGCCGTGTGCCTCCTCCAACCCCAACAACCTCGAGCGCACCAACGCGCCCCTTCTCCTTGTCTTCAGCTTTGCGGCCTCAGCACGCATCTCGGTTCCATAACCCGTGATGTCTCGCTGCCGCTTCGGCGTCGTCGCATTGGCCGGTGGTTCGGTCTCATCAGGTAGCGCAGTCGTGTCATCGGGGGGCGGCATCCACCAAGCAAAGGTATTGTCCGGGCCCTCGCATGTCTTTTTCAACCGTGTGCACCTGGTGCACGGAAACCCTCCATCACAGCTTGCCTTTGCGTAAAAGCAGCCGTCACATGTGTTCCGAGCGTTGCCTCTCCGTTCGAATGTATGGCAGGTGCATGCGAGGTTGAATTGTTTGCACCTGTGGCACGGATATCCGCCCTCGCACCTTGATTTTGTCATTTTGCAGGTGACACATGGCTTCCAGTCCGTGGCAACGTCCACGGAGTTTGTGCCGCTGCATCCCGGCTCGGTGCTAGGCCCAGGTGCTGGGTGGTCCGCCAATTTACCGGGGAACGTTCTAGGTAGCGTGGGGTCTTACAATCATTTGTTAGTCCATTTTCGTGTATAGACCTCCAAAGGGGGAAGAGTCAAAAAGGACGTACCTGTGACAGGCGACTCTTGGAAGGAAGATGCGCCAATCATGGTGTCCATCCAATCGGCTGAGCAGCGTCGGAAACCGGAGGGAGCGCCGCTGTCAACGCTTGAGGAAGGAAAGCGTCGAAGCTATGAAAGGATAGTCAGGGTGCGGGCCGAGGCAAAGTTCACGCGGCGAGAGGCACAAGGCGAGGAGTGTAGGCACGGATCTGCGGGTAGTGCAAATTTTGCGGATGAAGTGACGGCTGAGCAAGAGCGTCTACTCAGGCTGATGGACAGGACTAATAAACCACTTGATGTCAGTCGAAAAGGGAAAACACTTTCCCCCTCCCCCCTTCACCACCCTCCCCGCCACCCCGGTCATGGTGTGCGGATATCTCCTTCTCTGGCCGACTGGAGAGGCTGGTGGTTGCCATCGAGTGCTCGCAATTGGAACAGAACAGATCAAAAACTTGGTTTCGCCGACGTTGGACTCTTCGGATTGGTTGTGACGTGGTGGTGTGGTATACTAGGCAGGGGAGGAGTGTTTTGTGCTGCAGGATCCACTCGGGGGGCCTGACAACCTCTAGGTTGACCATCGAGCATTGAGGCTGTAAGCAACATAAGGATCATGACCTCAAACGCCGTCACAAGCCATTGAGGTGACGAGTTTTGTTGCAGAGTGGAGAGCAGAGGTGTCTTGGCCTCATCAGCCTCATCAGCTCTACTTGTGATTGGGTGGACAAAGGACCTTGTGACTGACCATTTTAGCCTCCGTTGCTGTGAGTTGTCAGGTTCTGATTGGCAGAACCGCCATTCTTCCCTGGTGCTAGAGAAGATGCCATTCAGTCTCGCACAGCACAGCACATCCGAAAGCCGGTGAGTTCGTAACAATAAATGTGGCGCTGGTAGTCGCTGAGACCCAAGGAAAGCTCCTTCCCCACCCGGAAGACAGGCAGGGTGGACTTTCCGTGCGGCAGAAACGGGTGAGGAAAAGTCAAACCGAAGTGGGAAGTTGAGCCTAACGGGGAAGGAAACAGGCGCAACGGGGCGCAATGGGGCGCTCAATAGTGTTAGAATATGACACTTGCTAGCGCAGAGCTTGGACCAATTCTCGCCTGATTTCATGGAGGATCCCGAGGGAGATTTCGCATGCACTGGTCTGGAAGGGATTAGTGAGGCCGCACTGAGACTGCCAAGTCTGACCTCTGTGAGATCCCAATCGCTTCATTTGGAAATATCGTCTGCCCTCGCCCAATGATGGCGATTGTCGAAAGGGTCAGGCTTTACAAGGTCTTAAGTACGTCCATCAGAGTTTCTGGCTTGGATTTGGGTGGCATGTAGCCAATATCTCCGTTGATAGGAGACGTTCATCCACCAATCTGGCATGGAGCCCGTTGTCGTTGTGGGGGCTACGAGTATGCTACCCCATCGTGCCTCATGTCACCGCCGTTCCTGGTGTGTTGTTGTTTCTCTGCCAGGCTTCTCCTCCACCGTCCTGATTTTTTACTTTTGAACTTAACCTTTCCTCCTTTATTCTCGCTAGTCTCTTTTCTTTCTTTCCTAGTCTCTACACTTTGTTGCGGCCCCAAGCCTCCGCGGCTGTCTGGAGATTGGCCTGTTCGTTGCCTTCTCTTGGCCGGGTGAAAGCGGATCTACCCGGCTCGACAATGACGCAACCTCCACCACCTCCCTTCGCATGGCTGCTCCCTTCCCCTTCAATATCGCGACTACCACTACAGGCAAGGCAAGCAGTGCGCAGAAAAGAAACGAACTACAAAGCAAGAAGAGGAAATGCCTCCCACACTCCGAAGAAACATCAGCGAAGAGATCCGCGATGCCGGCGGACGGTGGCAGTGGATGAAAAAAATTCCGCATCTGCGTGCCGTAGATGTGGCCGAGCCAGCTGCCGTGGATGAAGGTGCGCATCGTCTACGCCATCATCATACTCGGATTGGAGACGCTCCTGTCGCTGTGCGTGCCGTACGTGCAGGGCGCCTTTGCCCAGAGCGTCGTGCAGGCGTATACGGCCCAACACCTCGGCCCCGTGTGGAAGCCGCTGGCGCTGGTCGTGGTTGTCCAGTTCGCCAACTCGAGTAGCGGACTGTTGGCCGTGCGCGCGTTGTTGTGGGCCAAGTTCAAGCTCGGCCGCAAAGCCAAAGTGTGCAAGCTCGTCTACGAGCATCTCATGAAACACGAGGTCGCCTTCCATAACTCGACGGACCCGACTGACATCAGCACACGGTCATTGAAAAAAGCAACCAGGTCTGTCCGTCGCTCGACTATCTCGTATTCTGCACCGTACCCGAGGTGCTGCGGCTCTTCGACGCCAGTGCGACCGTCTTGTCGCTGTACGGGCCGCAAGTCTCGTTCGTGCTGGGCGCGGTCTCGGCCGTCGACCTACTCCTCGTGCTCTGGGTTAACCGTACCCGGACGGTGACCGTCGACCGAGGTATGAAGGCCCGCTTCGAGACGAATCGCCTATGCCAGGGTGGCTATCGAGGCTGGTCCACCGTGGCCATGTACAATCAGATCTACCGCGAGACCGAGGCGTACGGAGAGAGCCTCGGCGCGCAGACCTAGGAGTCGTGGCAGAACACACTCACGGATCTCGTCGTCGGCTTAGGCTCGAATCTCTTGCCGTCGTTTGGCGCCTTCGCAGCCACCACCCTCGTCATCGTGCGTGGCCTGCAGACTGGAGACCACACGGTCGCGCCCGTCGTGGCGTTCGGCGGGTACATGGCTCTGGCTAAGGCCCCGATGTGGCACCTCACGCGGATCCGCGAGCATATCACGGAAGATCTGTACAACCGCCGACCACCTCCGCCGACTGCTCGAGATTGTGCCCAGGAGGAAGTACGGGCCCAAGAACCTTAACCTTGACGTGGGTGGCGGCACCATCGAATTCAAAAACGTCACCTTTGGCTATCCCTCCGCGGCCAATGGCCCGGGCAATAAAGCGATCCTCAAAGACCTTTCTCTCGTCGTCGACAGCGGCCAGACAACCGCCCACGTCGGTCCGTCAGGCTGCGGCAAGTCGACCATTATCAACCTCGTGAAGTGGTCGTACGATCCCGACAAGGGCACCCTCCACATCGACGGCCAGGACATCAAGGAGCTGCAAAAGGGGGAGTGAGTGACACTCTTTGCATTCTTACTCTTACTTCTCCTTGCACTTGGATTCCCTCGCACACATTTCATGATGTTACTGACATATCGAACCCACCATACAGGCTGTCCAAGCACATCTCCGTCATGGCTCAGACGCGGTACCTCTTCAACCACACTTTCTCGCACAATATCAAGTACGGCCGGCCCGATGCCACGGAGACAGAGCTACACGATGCTGCAGACCGCGCCGGCATTCACGACACGGTCAACACTCTCCCGGAAACGTACGAGGGTATCGTCGGCGAGGGTGGCGGGTGGGTTTCTGCCTTCTCGCATGATTGAGGTGGTGGACCGTGACCGTCTTGACATCATATTGTCGTCGAGTTGTTACTGACTCTGCACCAGCTACCTCTCCGGCGGCGAAAAACAACGAGTTGCGCTGGCCCGGACACTTCTCCACGATGCGCCCGTCCTCATCTTCGACGAGGCCACCAGTGCATTGGACGCCGACACGGAAGCTCACGTCAAGGAGAGCATCAAGAGCAACAAGACGACCGTTGCCATCGCGTACGTAACCGTTCGACTTACTTCTTTCTTCTTTCTTCTCCCCTCCGGGTGTCGTTGGAAGTGTCAGTCAATCAACCGATTTCTTTTACCTTCTGACCCTACCTCCGCCTCTGCCTCTACTCTCCACCTCCGTCTCCCTCTCTGACTTGGACTCTACCTCTGACTCTGGTCTGACACAGACACCGCCTCTCAACCATCATGGGCGCCGACACGATCGTCGTGATGAAAACAGGTGAGGACGGGTGCGGCGAGGTTGCCGAGAAGGGAACACATCGCCAGCTCATCCAGCGTAATGCCATTTACGCGGGATTGTGGAGGAATCAGACTGGGGAGGACAAGGCGGACATGGCCAAAGGCGGGAAGTGAGATGTTCATCGCTTCGTTATCTTTCAGGGACAGACGGTCGTTATGCCGGTAATGACAAAGAACATGATGACTATAACGACGACGACGATGATGAGAAGGAGGGTGAAGATCAAGACAAGGGACTTCCGATCCCCTGCGCGTAGTCTTTATGCACTATGTCTAGGTAGCTTTCCTCTGTCACTGGATTAGGGACTTGACGATATGTAAATGAAAGGAAAAAGGGAGAGAGAGGAAAGGGAAAAAGAAAACAAATGGGGAACTTCGGCTTCTGGATTGTTTTGAAATGATACGACACCGCCGGTATAGGTCGGCTGGATCGAGTACATCGACTTCGTGATGAAATATGAACAAGAAGGATAGTAATTCTTGAGGTAGCAAGTAGTTGGTTGAGCACTTGTCGTTGTCTGCAACATGCTAATCTCCAATGATGTAGGCAGAGAAGGAGAAGTGGCGGAAGACGGGGCCTCGCCCCCATGTCCACGTCCACATCAATGTCAGTGTCAGTGTCAACTGCTCGCTCTGTCGCTGGCTCATGGATGCCGGACGTGGGTCTTTCCGCAATTTGCATTCGTGGTTGCCTTTGTGTGTATTCCACAAGTCCGGCGAAGCGGGGATTGATCCTCCCCGTTTCGCGCGATTCCTGCGTGGTGGGTGATACTTGTTGCTCGGCTCCGCAGTGGCCGTGTCGGTCTTTATTATCTTTCGGAAGGCCAAGAGCATTGAGAAAGACTCTGGAAGAAGTAAAAGATGAGGCGGTATTGGACGAGACCGTAGACATAAGAAAGATGAGGTCCTATATCAAAGTTGGTGCTCGCCAACGTTGATAGAATGTCTGCGTGTAGCGTGGAGAGCCACTGTCATTACTTGAGACATTCAGAGGCCGAAAAAATCGACAACCTTGGGACAGTCGAGCATCTCGCCTGTAGCGCGTCTGCTACTTCTTGGGACAGGGATGGCGCGCATGTGCCTTTCTTGAGGTCGACATGAGGACCACGATGGTGGTTCAAAAGTGTTGTAAGGCCCCGGATATGTGCTTGCAATGTGGCGTTATCATCTCAGCTGATTCACTAGCGGAGCCGTCCGTGTTCTCATACTCGGACACGCTCGTCCTCCAGCCAGCAGCGGAGCGAGCATCCAAGTCAAAGGGGTTATCAGTAACGACTTCCGACGAGACGACGGAGCAGTCAGCCCTGATATATGTCAAGAAGCACGACATCAATGCCATCGCCCACTACCTAAAGGGTAGCTGGCAGACCGTGATTGGCTAGGGCGTGACATAATGTCTAAACAGAGCCGGACATTATTCGCAGGATCTCGTGGTGGGCACGAGGGTGGAGAAAATACCGAGCTGAGGAATCTAGCGCTCATGTAGGAGAGCGAGCGAGAAGTCGAGGAGGAAGGGTCGTGTAAAGACACAACGGACTCGCAAGTGGAAGGCACTACCGAAGCTGGGAGACTTTGGAACCGTGCCCGGGCGTGAGCACGCCCAGATAGAAGGGCCTTGCTTGTTTGGGCTGGAGGATCTTGTGACTGACACTACTCTCGACCAGCTTCCTCAGTAGGAGTAGGACGAAGAGGACGACAGTGTGATTTAACCCATCGTACAAAGTGGACGGTTGAGGCATCGTCAGACCCTTTGCAGAAAAAACATTTTGTCTTTGCGGAGTCGTTTGGCGTGCGTGATTGAGGTTGAGTGATCGGCACCTTTCCTCAAGTCAGCCTGAGGCTCAATCCTGCGTGTGTGTCACAGAACTTCGAGGTCACAGACGGGGTTCATCTCACTGCTTCTCCTTGTCTGGACTCGAATTATCGTCCGAAGGAAGGGCGGTTGCAACTCCTCCAACATCGTCAAGTGAGGAAGATGGGGATGGAGTGGAACGGACCAGAAGTTCGACAGCTCACAATGCCCAAGCAGAAAGGCAGAAGATCATGGTCTTGCGGAACACGGCACTCTTGACTGATGCGAAACGACTTGATCATGGTACAGTGGAGGCTAGCGCAGGGCAGTAATGCTGGACTGAGGAGTATATCCCGCACGTCTTCACTGTCATAGTCAGAGTCGACACAGCACCTGCTATTCGGGTGCCGGAGAGTGCGAGCAGTCGAGAACACGGCATAACAATGACCCAAGGACAGTCCCCAACAGCTCCGCTCCGTCTGCAACAACTTCAGGAAGATAAAGGGGAAAGGTAGACGTCAGGGCAGAAAGACAGCAAAGGCATGGATTCCAGGCTACGGCGGTAACGAAACAGACGGAGAAGGACTGTCATATGCAGCAGTCGAGGTGGTGAGAAGTGACCTTGGCACACGTAGTCATGAGCTAGGCCTGATTTGGTAAGAGCACAATGTTTAACTGCAACACTAACTCCTTCTAATTAGGACTAGCTAAATTAGTCTCACGTGGGCCACTCGAGCAATTCGCTTGGCACTCCGCTTAGTCATTCAGACCTTGGCAGCCAGTTGGCTCACCGCAGTCATCGTCCCGTACGAGTTTCGTGGTTCCACTGATAATGCATCGCTGACAGCCAGTATTTGGCTTGTAGTGTCATCACCAAGCTCTCGCAATCTCCGCACCTAATCAGCCCCGCCGCAAACACACAGCCTATTGTGCGTCCTTCGTCGCGCGGCTCCGTCCATCCTGCAGCCTGCTCTTTATCGCTTTCGCTCTCCTGCGATCCCTCGACCTGTTCTCCGTTTCCTTCTCCCCTGCGGCCTCCTGCGACGCCCTGTATGATTCTCGCCTCTGCGATGCAATCCTTTCCATGAGCGTGTTGACGGAGACGCACCTTCATTTCGGTTGAAAATAAACCTTTTCAGGATCATTCTCAGTGGAGTGTTGCCTTCGCTATGATGTCTCCTTGCGGTGGTCAAAGCGCTGTGGCTATAGATCAAAGACATGAGTCTGCGCAATTGGACTGGGAATACATTGAAAATGAGGATGATAATATGCTCGTGAAATTGGAATACCCACGGCTGAAACGGGAGTTTCTTGAGTATCTGGGGAGTCATACTGATGATATTGAGAAGATCGTGGGCCAGCATGTCCGTTCGTCGCCCGGTCAACATTGTACAGTTGCACCGCCATCGGACTGGCTTTGTGGAAGCTTCAACGCTTGCCTTCCGATTCACGTCAGCGGGCCGAGGCTGCAGCGACTTCTGATCAAGTGTCCTCTTCCCCATCGGCTCGGAGGGGTGACAGATCCACGGTTGTTAGACGAAAAGGTTCGCTCCGAGGCTGCTTCCTTTGCGTGGATCTCCCAGAATTGCCCTCGAGTCCCATCCCAAGGCTATGGGGATTTGGTCTTCCCAATGGCTTGGCTGTAGGTGTTTCAGTGTTCGATCCTAAGTCAAGACTCACTCATAATATAGTTTACCTCCGTCTCCCAACTTCCCTGGTATTTGCGTGCCTTTGAATATATCAAAAGAGGTTTAGCATGGATCCTGCGAAAGCCTTTTCATCGGCCGTTTGTTCCGCGTCGACGTCCCGCATCTCTCAAGTCCGGCTACCTCCTGATGGATTTCATCGACAAGAACCAAGGCACAATGTTGTCCAACAGGTGGCCACTCCGTGCAGATGCCAGTGGTCAGAAACAGAATCTCTACAGAGATCTTTCCAGGCTCATGCTCAATTTGGCCCATCCATTACGCAAAATAGGCTCTTTCACGGTCGATAATGATGGTGAAGTGCGTCTAAGTCAACGTCCCTTGACCCTGCAACTCGCTGTCTTGGAGAATCAAGGCATTCTCACTGAAATCTCACCAAGTACATGTTATTCGCGGTCCGACCCTTATTTCCATGACCTCTTACGCTGCCATGACCTGAAATTGCAACATCAACCAAACTCAGTCCGGTCAAAACGTGATGCAGAAGGGCAAATGGCTGTTCTAACAATCATGCGGGGACTGACGGCGGCGTTTACGCAGCGTGATCTTCAACATGGGCCTTTCATATTTCGATTGACGGATCTCCACCCGAGTAATATCTTCGCGGACGAACAGTGTAACATCAAGGCAGTTGTTGATCTTGAATGGAGCTGCTCCTTGCCAATCGAAACGCAACACCCACCGTTCTGGCTAAGCGGACACGAACTCGATGAGATGGAGGGAGAGAATGTTGCAGACTTTGATCGCACATGCAACGAATTTCTCGACATATTTGAACAAGAGGACAGATTTGGGGAACGCGACTCTACACTGGAGCCTGGCTTTTGTACCACAGTAATGAGAGCTGCTCTGGAGAAGAAGATGCATTGGTATTGGAGCAGCTTGAACGAGCCAAGAGGCATGTACAATCTGTTCATGGACAACATACAACCAATGTTCGCCCCCTCACATTCAGAAAGGGGGCAAGCAACCCGATTTCAGCAAACCATCGCGCCATACTGGTCCACTGCTTCTTCCGCCTTTATCGAGGACAAGGTCCGCGATCTGAAAGACTATCGAGAGCGAGTGCGGGCAAAGAAGCAGGAGTATTCTGGGCTGTGCCCGTGACTTTCAAATAATTCATTTACTGTCTTTCGCCCTCTGCTTCGTTTGGAGGTTTCTTGACTGATCGGAAGGAATCAGAGAAGTTGAGAACGACATTGCTTCTTTGTCTGAGAGTGGTACACGACGGGCGTCCCACCGGATCTGGGTCGGCTTCCGGCGCTTTCAAGAGTCATGCCAGAGGGCGTAGCTTGAACATTGAACTGGACGCAGTCTTCAAGAACACATCGTTCCCGGTTAGTCTTCTTTACAACAGCGTCTTACTATCGTCAGCATTGGTTTGGGCCTTGCTCGCTATCCTTGCCAGTGAGGCAGCGGATCCATCACTTGTGTCTACCCTCTATCACCTCGGTAGCCACTATCTTCAGCGCTTCTGTTCTGGCAGAGCATCGCACCCAAGCCGATTCTCTGCGCAAGATCATTTGTCATCTGTTTCCAGATACACGACAGAGTCTGTCCTTTGACCACAAGGGAAACGGACCTTAACGCTGGTTCCACAAGGCGCCAACTCTTCTTCAATAGCGGACGCCATCTTCATGATCGAGGCCTCTATAAAAGACAAGAACGGTCCTTTCGTTGGGGATCTCGACGTGACTTTGCAATCTCACCTGGTTCATAGCATGAATGTGTACTCATGGACCTCTCTGAGTGCGTGCAACTATCTGCGGTTCTGATTCTTGCTGGAGCGACAACACGCTCTACCCTGACCCAACCACCTACATCGAGCCTCCTGCAGTTGCCAACGGTGCATTTTGTAACAGATTCGGAAGCCCACCGGACATCTACGGCCTAAAGGTACCGGCTGACCAGCCATATATTGTTCTTCACTGGGAATCGGAGTGGGGTGACAGGCCGATCTTGCTGGACATCGATGAAGGACTCGGTATAGCTCTCAATAAGGACTTTTCCTGCAAGAGAGCCTGGCGATACCTGAACACCCTTGGCCGAGCCTTAGAGTCTGAGAAGACGATGAAATAGGAGGAACCCAACAGCTTGTTGGCAGCCGCGTCTCCATTCAATTATTATCCGCCAGATCAGCTAACCTTCCACGGAGGCTCACCACGCACCAGAGCGTATGCATTAGATGGAGGTCAAATTTGAGAAGACTTACTCTGATTTGACGCGCCGGGTATCATCGGAGCAGGGGGCCGACGTCCAAAAACACTCCGAGATTGCGAGAGATAAGAGCAAGGGACAAGGCTCTACAAGAGATCGCGAAAGATCAAGCAAAAAGGATGGATGCCAAAGGCGGAGCCGAAAGAGGCAGACTATCGACAGCTTGGGCAACACTCCAAGGTTGGCGTCTAATGCAGGCGATCAAAGTCTTCCACGAGGTATTGAGCGACTGTTGTAGGGTGTCAAGCCTTCAACGTACCTCGCACCACTCGAGGAGCTCTGCACCGTGAATAAACGCAGAAAGCCTTTATGGAACTGGACCACTAAGCTGGAGACCACGAAGGCGAAGCCCGGGACAGTGCCGAGGAAAACAACGATAACCACGACGGATCCCATCTCAGGCACTCTCTGATAGCTTGGGAGTTTCGGAATGGATTGCTGCAGCTCACTGGCGCTTTGCGTGTCGAGCGAGCATGAAAAAAATGCCGTTGCTGCCAAAGTCACGATTCGTTCGGACCAAGGACGGACAGGCGGCAATACAAGGTGCAGGATGGCCAGTCCGCCCAGGTCGAGCACGTTTTCGAATAGGTCGTCCAATACCTCGCCCAAAGCAAGAAGAAAAGGGGGAAAGAAGAAGAGAGATGAGGAGAGATGGAGGGCAAGTCTCTGCTTCAAATAAGTACGGTGCGACGAGTGTTCTGCGACTCGTCCGCGAGAGTATGGAGATTGATGAAGGTTGTCATGGCCTTGACGAGATCCAAACCGGCTTCAATGCTGGAGGCTTCCGTTTCCAGGACCGCGATGTTTGGCTTCGAGCGCCAGCGTTCGTACATCGTGGCACCACGTACATGCTGGAAGTCTCATGCAGCAGCGGCTATTGGGGATCGATGACTTCGCATGCTGCTGCTTGAGAGATCGAGCTTGTCGCCCAGGCGCAATGACACTGCAGAGAGGAATGGCTTGAGTCAGAGAATGGAGACTGGAGATTAAGTGGATGGGTGCCGCGACATGAAGAGTAAACATGGCAAAATAGAGCGATCCAGCAGATTTCACAAGGCCATTGAATGAAGATAAAGGACCAATCCCGTTCCATGAATTGCTAAATCTCGGCGGCAGATGACCCAGTGCTGCATTCGAATCCAATGTTGCTACTCATTGCCCAATGCCAGGTGACCGTAAGATAACTTCCCATTCCTGCTCGCGCGGCATTGTGTCGTGTCATTATCGTCGGACTCGGACTGAACCTGTCGAGGGCTCGACTCGCGCTGAAAAGATAACGCGTTAGTCACGAGACGACAGTATGGATCCTGCAGGCCGTCTTCCCGTTTGGATATGGAGCAACTGTTCTAATGGCCATTAAAACTCACAGAAAGCTTGCAAGAATGCCATGCAAGATCTGGGAAATCATCCTCACTCGCCGGCGACGCTCCGCCTGAGACTGTCACGCCCAACCACGCGGCGGGAGAGCCGGAAACCACTCCAAACCCACGCCGAGTTGTGGTTGTAATCGACTAGCAGTCAGACTGTCCACCACCGCCGTAGCAATCAGTTGAGAAACTCGACAGAAATCAATGTTGGAACAAGCACGAATAGCGTCCGCCGCTTCATTCGAGAGACTCTGCTGGATGAGGTGCTTAAAGTCGTACGAACCCACGCTAATCATGTATGGTATATGTCGGGCTGACAACCGTGGCCTGCGAGCATCTTGCACATCCTCAGAAGGCGACATCGACACTTTCATCCTCTTCCAGCTTCGGTCTTTGGCGTCCGTTAGCTCCAACGCCACGAAAGATCACCATCAAGGTGGGATCCTGCCTCTAAAACAGCGGGCGTCTTGCGCAATGATGATTCGACATATATCGAGGGTCGGGACCACCTAGTCAACGCGACAGCCTCTCGGGTGCCGCCATGCAGAGGAGGGGAGAGCCCCCACGGAGACACTCGCAGTCGACGGCCCCCGAGGACCCGGTCAGCATCGTCGCAGCCATCAAGGACACCTTTCGCGGTTGGTTTGGTTGCTTCTGATTCATTGGCAGCTTCCTTCGAGGATGGTTTTGTAGGCTCTGGAAAAAATCCGTCATCGGGTTTTTTACGAAGGTTTGGTCGTTGCCGATACAGTTCCTTGTGCACGGAGGGTTGAATTGCTTAATAGTCGTTACCATCTCTTCTCCGGACAAGGACAAGAAAGAGTTTTCAAGAATCTGCAACTGCCTCAGCCAGGGCATGCCGTCAGCTGGGTTCGATTCCGTGCTTCGGACCAGCCACCGCATCGTGCGTAATGGCGGAAGCCGTCGTCTTGGGGTCTTTTCCAACCCGAGTATCAAAGCATGCATCTTGCCCGATGTTAGGCGGCCGGACCCCCTTTTCATCACCCATGAAGCCGCGTTGAAGACCCAACCCATCGTGGCTATCGTCACAAACAATCTTTCGGCGCGGAGAGTTTGACCTGGAGGCACGCCATTGCCTTCAGGATCGTCAGCTGATTGCCGCTCGTCACATCCATCGATGCAGGAATCATATATTGCAGGCATCTTTAAAGCATGTATCGCACTGTGCTCTCAAATTGTTGAATTTCAAGTACGAAGGAGTATCTCAACAGGCCACTTGGTTGGTTGACAGCGAGGTCATGGCGCAGGTAGTGACCGACCCTGACGCGTCGCTTGCCCCACGTGACTGTAGGAAGGCGCACGATATCTTCCAGCAGGGCGCTGACAAGCCGAGCATGTGAATGCCTCCGTGATATACATTGCAGACCTAACACTGTTGCCATGTGTCAGAGAATCGAGGAAGATTTCGAGTGCATGTGGGAACAATAGGACGAGAAACAGCTCTCGAAGTAGGTCAAATTAGTCTACGGCGAGGTGAACGCAGGTCAAGGACTCTGAGGCTGCAGGGCCATTGGCAACTCGAATTCGGGACTCTGTACCACTCCACTCGGCCGAGCGCTTTACGTCAAACATGAGCCAGACGTGTGTTCAATTTTGTCCACCAGTAAGGAGAAAGGCGGCAGCGCCCACTTCATGAGAGTGTATGCAAGGGGGCCTTTGCGTGACTTAGTCGACTCATTGAACACTGGCTCATGACCGGCTCCCAAAGGATCTCCTCTCACTTCATCCGTTGGATCCCCTTCGAAGTTACCTCTTTGGGTATAATTGTGACTCGGCAGAAAGAGTTTTGATTCCTCACCCCTTTGTGATTGTACAAAATATTCGAGACAGAGAAACGGCACGACTTCATTCCTGCCGAGTGGCCATAGCTGAACCATTGGTAGGGGCGTTTACTCTCACCTACCTGCCATTGTCGCCAATCAGCGTCGAAGTAGGGGGTTTGAGCCAAACTCGTTCAAGGAGATGGGAAAAGACAATGTCTGCAATGGCGAAAATGATACCGAGTACACGGGGATATATGTTGGGCAATTCCGATACCCCAAAAGCCACGCTCTTCTCGAAGACGTAAGAACACGGCGATTTATACCTATCTGTGCGATAATGATACCCAGAAGACGGTCCCATCTTATTCAGAAGTACCGGGAGAGCAATAATGGACATCTCCGTGTCAAGGAGCTCAATGGCGAAGTAGCTGACCCAACAAAAGGTCGGTCGCCAGCTCTTGGTGATCGGAGCGTACCAGCAGTATGGTGTCCACGTGACGGATACATCAGCCGGTAAAAGAGGGCTCTTGTGATGGAAGCGCAGAGCGCGTCGGTAACCTGCCGAGGAGCCTGTAGCAGGCAACAACAGCCCAGAGGTACATGATTAAAACAAGGGTGGCCATATCATTCCTTGGCATGTTTTGACATCTTTTAACCGGATGAAGGTTAACCCGAACAGGATCTCGAGTGTAATAATACACAAGCAAGGACAGCCCGGCTGATCAACGAGAGGAACTGA